TTCAAGCCCTATGATAAAATAGCTATACCCTGAGCTCACTCTATCAATAGTTTTTATTCTTTTACCCTACTCCAGGTACAGGAATGGATCCTGAGCACCCACACATCAGGGCTTCTGTGTTTTATACACTGGTGAGATCTCATTTTATAGTTCTAAGATGCATGGTGTTCTGGTCTACTGCCTGTAAAAGATCAGGAGCAGCAGATATAAGGGAAAGAAGTAAAATATGGGGCCAGAGCGAGGTCTGCAATAAGATATGACTGTTGAAAGGGTAGCTTTGACATTTTCATGGCTATTTAGTTTTATAAGTCTGTACACATCTCAAAAACTATGGCTAAGCTCCTAGATTGAATCAGTCCAAGTGTCCTTCAAACAAGCAGAAAGACAGACAGACTGAAGACTCTACTCAAGCCTAAATTTCCCTGATTCTGAGTGGCTTGGTATAGGACAGCGTTTCTCAACCTGTGGGTCGAGACCCCTGTGGGTCAATTTGTAACAATAAAAATACATCCTGAATACCAAATATCTACATTACGATTCATAAGGGTAGCGAAGTTGCAGTTATGAAATAAAAACAAAACTAATCTTATGGTTGGGGTCACCACATGAGAAAAGCTGAGAATCACTGACTTGGGCCCTTTACAGCCAGAGGCATCACTAGCAAAGTTTGGTTAGAGTGGCCTTGGTTACCAGGACTTTCCTCTAAGAACAAACACTTTGTGTATTAAATGTGATTTTTGACCGAAAATGAGAGAATTAAACCTGTTCCTAACTCCTGTGTCACAAGGAAATGCAGAAAGCTTAGTGTTATGCTAAGGTTGTTATCTCCCCTCTGAAACACCTCTATCCATTACCCCAGCCCACCCTTGACCCCCTCCTTGTTCTGCCCAGAAATCACCTGGGGTTCTTGTTCCAGCGCAGTCTAACAGCAGAGGGCTGGGAAGGCTCGCAATCCCCATTCTTTACAAGCTCCAGGAGATGCTGCTGCGCGGTTAACCGGAAGGGCCATACTTGTAGTCCGGAGGCTCTAGAACCGGTCCTCCTTTTGGCCACTAATAGGAACCCAAACAAGGAGGATGGTTTCCTTATTCCTGACTAGAGCATTCCACAGAACGCTTGATGCAAATATTTTGTGCTAAAAACCACAGGCTTCCTGAACTGATATCAGGGGTTTTCGTCTCTCAACCACGCCCCTTTTCCCGTGAAAAGACCTTATTGGAGGATCAGAGATGGAGGAGCTTCCTCTACTCTTTCATTGCAGCTGAGGTCAAGGGGGCAAAGGATTGACCAAGTTCACAGGTGATAGCCGCCAAGACGAAAGCAGACCTTCAGAGGCCTTGGAGGATGACTGCGTTGTGAAATGACACGCAGGTGCTTAACACATGGGAACTCGCCAGAGAATGGTGGCACATGCCTTTAATCCCAGCACTTGGGAGGCAGAAGCAGGCAGATTTCTGAGTTCAGGGCCAGCCTGGTCTACAGAGTGAGTTCCAGGACAGCCAGGGCTACACAGAGAAACCCTGTCTCGAAAAAAAGAAAGAAGGAAAGAAAGAAAGAAAGAGAGAGAGAGAGAGAGAGAGAGAGAGAGAGAGAGGATCCTGATCC